AAACATCACCAGACTGCTGTTTGACTATGCGATTTGCTGCCTCTGCAGGAACGACGATAAGACCTAGAGGTGACGGAAATGCGTCACGCACCTCCAAGTGGCGAGCATCTTGACTAATAACGGCAACCAGCTCTGCAATTCGAATTGAACAGTCGCAGTTGATGCACACCTACGAAACGCGTTAAATTGGTTATGGACCCAAGCGCCTGCTGCTGTCCAATAACAGGCTAGCGGCAGCAGGCTTCCCATTTTGCTCCAGTGTTATTTTCTGGACGAACACGAGGGACAAAGTACTCTGTTTTACCGAGCCTGAAGAAGGCGGGGGAAAATGTCATGTCGACTCACCGCCGGTGATCATATCAGAAGCACGAGCCGGTTGCAGAGACCTTGGTGGTCCATTTATCCATCCAGTAACGGGTTCTCTTCGTAAAGTGGTGCGGGCACGGAAGAGTATTGCAGACCCGAAGCTTATAGCTTCTTCTCCAGTTTTGGGCCGCCGAACTTTGACGCCCGGTTGCCACAGAATGTATCCACTGTTTTCTGCGCATTCAGCCCGGGACGCCGCGAGATTAGCTTCCTTAAGGGCCTTGAGAACAGCTGTACGCATCGCTCTCTCCGCTGCACATCCTTTTCCTGCACTCGTGACAGGAAATGCAGATGGATACTTCAGTCCCAACTCCGATTCGCCAGGCACCTGCGTCTGTATTGCTGCTACTAACATAATTTCTGCGGTGCGCGCAGCTGCCGCAGCTGCTTTTGCTTCCCGAAGCGCAACTCCACCATCATCTTCAAAATGCGCTCGACACACACTGCTGCTTGCGATCCCTCGAAACTGGCGGCAAATGGACTGCGCTGCATTATGAATTGCGTCGTCTGCATTGAGAGCACAACAACAATTTCTCGTGCAACTGTGCAAAAATAGACCCACGAACACGGCGATTCTGAAATATGCACAGCAATAAAGCTGAATCTAATCCATGCTTGGCGGGGGCATCGCCCCGAGACTTCTCGAAGTCTCAGCTTACCATCGAAGCACTCAGCGACGGGAAAAAAGAAACTTGGGTCGCCATCGCAGGGACAAAACCACCAAGTGCTGTGTTCATCAGCTGATCCTTTGTGTCCCCCTCCTTCAAGGGCGTCGGGCACTTCGTGGTGTGCTCCATGTGTAGGTTCCCGTACAGCAGTAGAATGGTTCGGCGGTTGTAGGTTCCTACCGGAATTATGCGTGACTGGCGTGCGCCCTGCTTGAACCAACCCTTCGCCAACGACTGCACACACACCCACCGAACTCCTCAGTGATTCAACATCTGCAGATATTTCGGTCGGCCAAATGAAGTAAGAGAGGCCAGGAACGCATGTATATGCCTGCTAAGCTTCATTTCGGTGTATGGTTGAAGCCCATACAAAACGCAGTATAGAAAGCCAGTTCTTACTCGGATCACCTGCAGCTTCATCCCCTGTACCTTGTTGAAGACTGGACGGTCTTATTTG